GGTGATATATATAAAAATATGCATTCATTAAGCCGATTATCATAATATTTTGGAAATTATGAAGGAAACTGCTAATGGAAATTAAATGAAAGTTGTTAATGAAATATTTTTCAGTGTTTTATTAATGGAGTGCATCTCCTCTTTATTCATGGATGAGTTTGGGTAGAAGAAAATCTAACAAGCTTGCTCGACCGGGTTCACTAGGTTGAGCGTCGGTCGCGCTCCCCGAGTTTGAGACGTGACAATTATTCTTATCTTGAAGGCCAGCTTCGTTGTCGATAGGTAGGGCCATTAATTGAGAGTTCGTCGTTTTTAACCTGAAATCAAAGACACTTCCAAGAGCAAGTGTAAAATAGTGTGTTTCACAGAGATTCGTATCAAATAACCACTATTATCCTTAGCCCCACGGTGGGCGCCAAACTGTTTACCCGAAAAACGGATAGAGTTGAATTTATACGCAGTTCTAAGGCTACATGGTATAAATTGGTACAAATCGGGAAAGATAAATAAGTGTGTATTGAAATTAGTTATAAAAGAAATGAATGCAAACCAGATGAACTAGTTGGCCTAAGCCTTCAAGTTTAATCAGCTCCAAATCGGGTAAGAACGATTGATAGAAGAAGCAATTTGACTAAAATACCAAAAGCCACCAAAGGATAGTATTGGCTCTGTTTTCTGTATATATTAGAATGAATGTGTGTATGTATCCGTCCCCTCTTACAAATAATAACCACTCTTAATATAGTGGGGGAATCCCATTTTGTGTATAATTAAAAATACATAGTGGAGATCCCATGATAGACTAATTAATTAACTTTTTCGTGATTTCCGCCGAGATTCTCTTCCCAAATGCGGCTATAGAGGCTCTTTTGTCCCTTGACTCGATCTCGATCTTGGCCGGTCTCGGTATGGGTCGGTCTCTGGGTCTCGAGCTCGATATTGACTCAAGCTCGATATTAATCGGTCTCTGGGTCTCGAGCTCGATATTGATTGGCCTCTGGGTCTCGAGCTCGATATTATGATGACAAACCTCGGTCCATCATGCTCCAATCTTGATTAATCACACGAAAGACAAACTCGATTTTGACCGTATACATATTTATATATTTATTTCAGCTGATTGCTTAATGAAAAAATTGAATAAACAGGCACAAGTCCACTGCTTCTCTGTACTTTATGTGGCTTCTCGTGTGCGTTGAAGTATGAGGTAACAATAGACTCAATTTGCACCCACAGAGTCATCCAAGGAGCCAAGCAGTAGGAGTATAATAATTATTTGAAGAGCAACAGTGTCTAATAATTAGACAAAAAATGTCAACAGTGTCTATTACATTATTTGAAGAGCAAAGGACTTAGTATATATTTAAATAAATCGATCCCATTTAAAAAGAAAACATAATTAGGAGTATAATAATTTTCTTGCATCTGGAACGACATTTTATTTGGCAAAGGTCGGTCACTAATCCTTTCATCATCTCCCGTTGTTGTTTAATACTACTTCATTCGTCCCAAACAGATGAGGGTGAACACATTCTTAGTCTTTTGTGTAAGTTCAGAGAATCAATTACAAAATTTTACACTAGTAAATCACAACTTTTATAAAGAAAAATACCTTGAAATGTTTGACAAAATACACTGACGAATAAACTTCGACCGTAATCTATCCAAACCGAATATTCCTTTTGTCCCAATTTATATAATTTAAAAAAAATAATACTTTTCTATATCTAGAAACAACTTAAATTTAAACTTGATAACCATACAAATATTTTTAATTTGTTTTAAATTACACTATTTCAAAAAAAAAATTTTCTTTCCTAAATTTCGTGCCTAGTGAAACAGCTTACATAAAATGAGAGAGAGGGAGTAATAAATTACTGAAAGTATCTTTTGGAGTGAGTGAAAGTGGAAGAGTCCCATGGTTATTTGATGGTGCCCTTTTGATTATGTAAGCGAAATTTGAGGTCCAAACATATACAACAACGTTCTGAAAGAGATGGATAATAATCTTTTGAAAGCGTATAAATTCTACTATTAAGCACTTGAGACTTGACATTCCACGTGCTAAAGGGTACGAGTCTTGAAATTATAAAGTAGGTCAATACTTTTGTCGACAAATTAAACGCTTTGATTTTCACAATAACGCTACGATTTTAATGTGATATAAACATTATAGAAACAGCTGCAATTAGTTGGCAGTCTTCAACCTAATGACATGTATAAACATAATTTGCATATGTAATTAAGGGGACACTGTGTCACCTAGGATCCTCTAAAACACATGGTAGAATTATTTAATCATACTCATGGATATGAGATAAGATATGCTACACATTTAAAACTTAATTAAACAGCTATTAGTTGTGTAACCAACTCCTCCCTTTAGCATTGACAAACATTTCTTCTCTTTCACACCTAATTAACTACTTTTCTCTAATGGTCAGATTCATGCTCTGAAGAATAAAGAATCTAATTATTGAAAGAGAACATTCTATATATTCAAAAACCGAAGCCAGGGTTTTTTATGGAGTTGGGGTTGCGGATCAGGGAAAAAAACTGGCCTTGGGGAACAATATTTATAATTCTTAGAGGAATTATAATATTGGCCTCATTTGTTTTAAAATTGATAGCTGATTTGGAATTTGCAACAACTATTTAAATAATAAAATCAATGTGTTATTATTTTGACTTCATAAAAAGGGGCTCCTAATTGTTGTTTCGTTCTCCAGTGACCCTATTTTCATATCTTAATTACCCGTTTTCAATTGCCCTTCGCTTGATTCAAATGCATGCTTAAACTAAAATAATCTCGTAACTTCTATTAATACTCCATCTGGTCCACAATAAGTGATTTCTGGCCCTTTTTGTGGTTCAAAATATCTGATTTTTTTAGATTTCAAGAATTAATTAATTGTTTTTTCCCCTATATTGCCCTTGGAGTAAATAGCGTTAGAGTATGTGTTAGAGCCCGTTTGGATGAGCTTGTTTTAAGTAACTTTTAAGCCAAAAGTTATAAGTTAGGAATTCTAGCTTTTGACTTATTTTTGTCATTTTAGCTTAAAAATAAAATGGCTTAAAAACATTTTAGCTTAAAAGCACTTTTTTACTTTATCCAAACATTACAAAATGGCTTAAAAGCTATTTTACCTTAAAAACACTTAAAATAAGCCAATCCAAACGGATTCTTAAAAGTGTGTAAATCACTTATTATGAACCGAAAGGAGTAATAACATTCTTTCCTCTCTTTTTTTCTTTATTTTTTGACCATCTCGCTTATTCCCAAAGTTGTACTGCGGTGGAAGTGCGTGATGTTGAATACTTACTCCTCCTTTCACTTTTACAGACGTTGACATATATACTAAAAATAGATTTTTATTTTTACTTGTCACTTTACGCATATCAGGAGAAGATAAATTTTTTTTCCTGTTATACTCACAGTATTTATTGCTTATTTCAAATCATTTTCTCAAATCCAATAAAATATGCATCAATTAATATGAGTATCATGATAAGTTATGCACTTCATTTATTATTTCTTAAGGGACGTGAAAAGTCAAAACGTGTCAAGTAAAACTGAAGAGAGGGAGTAATAAACATCAACAACTTTTTTTTTTTGACAAATAAAACAGGAAAAATTAAGGATTTTTCCTTGATTTTAAATATGCTCGTTATTTTATGTATACTTTACTTACACGGAAAGATCGACGAAGACAGATAGAGCTAGGATTTGAACCATATGGGGTCGAGATTATAATCTTTTTAAGTTACAAAGTTCTAAATTAATAATTTGTACATATTTATTAAATTTCTTAATATAAATACAGGGTTTGAACAAAAGCTACTGGATTCGGCCGAACCCGTAAACGACACTGTGGCTCCGCCCTGGACAAAGTTTAAAGAATAATATTGCAAGAGAAATAACTTATGTTTATAATGTTAGAGCTCCTCCTAAACTTAGGAATGTTGTGTGATTAATATAAGTTGTTAGTTTCCAAAAGAAAAAGGTCGACAAAAAATTATATCTTAATAGGAAATTATTCAGATTCTAGTGATCATGAGCAAAATTAAGTCTGGTTTGCTTTTTAACTATGTAAAAGGAATTAAGCAGATGAATTAGAGCCTTGCAGTTAACACTAACAAAGGTTTCTTTTTTGTTTTAAAGGTTAAAAAAGATTTATACTATACTGCCACATATTGTCAGTATCCTAGCTTATTGGTTTTGGCCCACGCCAGCATTAGCTTCCTTATTATTAACCATATGTTTCATGTGCAATACATATAATCAACTTTATTGTTTTCACATTTTTAATTTCACAATAATAACTGTTTTTTTGTAAAATAATCACATTTGTTTAGTGATGCGGCCAGCCAACTTTGAAAAAAACGTGAAAAAGAGATTTTTTTTCCCCTTCTTATGATGAGATTTGACCTGTAGCAAAATGACATAGGGTGAATTTATTAGTGGGTAAACACCAACCTAGTGTTGCTTTAATTTGTATTGCTATAATTTCACTGTCAAAATAATAATATTTTCTATTAATCCTATCATTTTAGAAAAGTCAAACGCCGTTTTTATAATAGTTTAAAATATCTTTCTTATAAAAATATGACTAATACTAATACTTTTTGTTTAATATAAGCTGTAAATTTTATTTCAAGAAAATAAAATTATGATCTAAATTCAATTTAGACTATTGACTTATAATACATACCAGGTAACTTTTTGTAAAGAAGAAGTTTGATATGATTATCTAGAAAATAAAAATGCAACCTACCATAACCAATTAAATTTACTCTGATAATGTAAAATTTAATTTTACTGTTAGTATACATAATTTAAATTGATATTTAATCAATAAATATATAATTAGAATTTCCATATTGTGACACCTGGGTACACGCTGTACGGACTGTCACTATCGCAAAAGTCGCCATGAACGTGCCTTTAAATACTCAAAACCCCTTCACCAAAATCTCTCTAACAAAACCCTCCCTTTTAAATCAATTATTATTCGTGTTTAATCATTCTGTTCTTTTTTCATTTTTTCGGTACATTTTCCTCTCTTTACTAAACCAGAAAATCCTTGCCAAATATTCGAAGCATTCAAAAAATACTAATCCAACTACTAGTTAATTAAACACTTCGCCATATTTTTATTAGTGACTCATACTAGTTTGAGATTAAGGCGTAATTGATTGATTAATATGTCGCCAGCTGTCGCTGCTGTTGGACACCACCGTGTAGTACCGTTAGCACCTACGGTTACGCCGGAGGCAGCTAGTCCGGTGGTGAAACCACCACCTCCGACCGTAGTGTCGGAGACATTTGCTAAGGACGCAATATTAGCGTGGTTCAGAGGGGAATTCGCAGCTGCAAATGCAACAATTGATGCGTTATGCAACCATATTACACAGCTTGAAGGCGGGAGATCATCGGAGTATGAATCGGTGTTCGCTGCCGTTCATCGCCGGCGGCTGAATTGGATCCCGATTCTTCAGATGCAAAAGTACTGTTCCATTACCGAGGTTACCGTTGAGCTACGGAAAGTCGCTGACAGAAAATTAAAGGAGAGAGAGGAGGAGGAGTTGACTGAAGCTAAACAGAGTGACGCAGAAGTGAACGGTTCTTTGGGTGACAAGGAAAGTAAGCATTCCGTAGAGAGCTCCGAAAATGCAGGAAGTGAAGTGGTGGATGAAGATGAATCACATGATTCTCCTGAAAGTGAGATCACTGATACAGGTAAGTAGTACGTAGTTTAATTATAGTTAGTGCAGTATTCAATAAAAACAGCAAATATTCAGAGCATAAATAATGTATTATTTTGGGGTCAATTGGTTTTGTGGTCCGTTATTAATATTTTTTTTTGTTTTAGCTTTATGTCAAATTTCATGAGAAATATTTATTTTTACAGGAAAGAGGTTAGAAATTAAATTACAAGAGATATTTACAAGATCAATTTCTTTGTTAAGTGTTGAACCAATTTTCCATTATTTCGATGAAAGAGTTCTACTCTTAATTAACGTCAAATCCATTTTTAAGAAATTGCAGATCTTAAGCAAAATTGGAGTTCTAAGCTTAATGAAAGTGTTGAATTTTAACTTTTGTTTTTATCCCATCCCACTTTTAGATAGTCAACAATGTTCAGCTTATCTTTGACTCTGGCTTTTGAAATTTAATTTCTACTCCATTAACGCTGCTATAATCTAATGTTTCACAAAATAAAATATGTTTGGTTCTAAGCCTGGATTAAAGAAAAACGGTTACTCTAAGTTGGCCGTCAGCTAAAATTAGTTTGATATAATAAATAACCGACCTAACTAATTTGGAATTGTATTATACTAGTAGTTTTCTTTTCCAACTGGAATTGTATTATAGTAGACTGATTGATTAAAGTTCTCATTTTTCTCAAGTCCTTTTCTCCTCTTGGAACGAAGGCAATTCGTAAGTGAAGCTAGTCAAATTCGTCAGAGATATTCAAATTTTAGATATTGATTTTTTAAAAAGGAAGCTTTGCTATTCCAGTCCTCTGTATTTTTCTGCCCTTTGTTATTGGGACTGAGAAGTATTGGATAAATGCTGTTAATTTCCCGAGGTTTTGATGGAACAAGTTTGAGACAACCGAGATGGGAAGAAATGAATGTTATAATTCAGTTGTTAGTCCCAGAATCAGAATAGCTCAGTGAGTTGTGGCAAATGCCCTCTGTGTGTGACAGTGTGAGGTTGGGCGGCTCTGTTAGCTATATCCTTACCTAGGTTTGGGACCAGGATCGGGTCACCAAAATTTTGACTTTATTTGGTGGTCTAAACCGTTTGATGCTTTTACGAACATCATGCTCTGTCTTGTTGGCTTCTTCTTTGCAGGTTGTCTGGTTAGGAAAGCTTGTTGACTAATGTGACAGCTAAATTCAATCTTTGAGATTCCATATTATAAAAAAAAGTGCTTCTAATAGAGTAGAATAAGTCCGTTAAAAATAGGGGCGACAGTCCTATGATAGTAATCGCAAATGAGGGCAGCAACTAAACTAATAAAGTAGCAATACTATATGCAGTTCAGTTGTCTGTCTCAGAATATCTTTTTGCTAGGAAAGTTACTTTATCTTGATACATTCTCAATGGCGAGTGGTGACGGCCATCTTTCTGTCGTATTTATTTCCAATGTAAATAGTTTTCATACTATTCCCAGAGAAATTTAATTCAGCTCAAGCAATCATATATGTGTGTTCGTCCTTTGGCTTAACTAATCATGTTTTACTCAGGCTACGATCATTCTAAATGTATACATGTATGTTTTCTTTCATTGTACAGGATCTGTAGAGCCTTCGGTAGAAAGTGTTGAATTCTGCTCAAACCATGAGAACTGTGAGGCAAGGCACGCCCACATCAAGATGACAAAGGGGTTTGTATCAAAGGAGCCAGTTAAAGGGCGTATGGTGAGTTTTCAATCGCAGTTAGTTTGCATGCTTTCTGTGAAGGATGGCATTCAGTTTTAAAGTTGATCCATAATGTGAAGGCCTTAAGCGTGCTTCCATAATCTGTGACTGGCAGGTGAATGTAGTAAGAGGTTTGAAGTTATTCGAAGACGTATTTACTCCAAATGAAATCTCGAAATTAAATGACTTTGTGAATGAACTTCGAGCTGCTGGCCAGAATGGTGATCTCTCAGGTGGATCCTGTGATTCATGACACTTTTATAGTTAGTGTTGTTTCCTTTTTGGGGCGAAGTTTGAGATAGTAAAGGACACCTCCTATACTTTTGCTCAAGCAGGTTTGGGAATTCATTTTCTTGTCTCGTTATAGCTGCCTTAGCTTACTATAATAGGCTTTTCCATGAATACTTTCTTCCTAGTGAAAATTTTCTCGGTACCTGAGATCTATGCTGATTACTATGTTGCCTCTATTGTGAACTGTACAATCATCAAAAGCTCAAATCAATCTTCTGTTTTGTAGCTTTTGTTGACGAGTTTTTACTGCTTGCATTTTAAGACATCATACTTCTTGAAAGGAAGTCATAAATGCTCTTTATTACTGTCTGATCTTTTAATCGGCATTCTTCAAAATCACCTGTTTATCTTGGATATCTTCCCTGAATTGCATGTGATTGCCTTATAGGTGAAACTTTTGTTTTATTCAACCAGCAAGTGAAGGGCAACAAAAGAGAGCTGATTCAGTTTGGCACCCCAATTTTCAGGCATATAAAAGAGGAGGCCACATATCAAAAGAGTAAGTGAAAGCTGTGTCTTAACGCATATCTATCGTTTGCTGCAATAAAACTTCTGAATGCTTCTCAACTTTATGACCCTCGACAATTCACTTCAAGCCTAACTGCGAGATGTCAACCTTCAGGTAACATTGAACCTATTCCAGCTCTTTTACAAGGTGTCATAGACCACTTGATTCAGTGGCATCTAATATCAGACAGTAGAAGACCTAACAGCTGCATCATCAACTTCTTTGATGAGGTTTGTGAAACATTTATGCAAGATTAATCTTAGCCTTTGTACATTTTGATTGGTAAAAACTGAAGCCTAAAAGCTTATTTCCTGGCTTATATGTAGGGAGAGTATTCACAGCCTTTCTTGAAACCACCTCATTTAGACCAGCCTGTGTCTACCCTTCTCCTCTCTGAATCGATGATGGCATTTGGTAGAACTCTTGTATGTGACAGTGATGGAAACTACAAAGGATCGTTCATGCTTTCTCTAAAAGAAGGGTATGCATCTTCACAAATCTGAGGGGGTTCACAATATAAAGCTTTCTCCATATATTTGTGGTCTCAGCGATCATAGAGTCGGTATCAATTTAGTAAGTCTGTGTTTACTCTGGTAAAGTAATGAGACTAAGAGATAATTCTGAACATGTCCTGCCTTAATCTATTATGCTGTATTTCAATTTTCCTCTTGTAGTAAATCTTTATTTCCGTTCTTCCATTTCTCAGATGAAAGAAGGGTCCATGCTAGTGGGGTTTGAGTCTGTTAGCAATCTACTTATCAAACAACTATTATCTCATGGTTGACATTCTACCTTTCTTTTTATATTTGGCAGGTCTCTTTTGGTCATGAGAGGGAATAGTGCTGATATGGCTAGGCATGCGCTGTGCTCATCTGCTAGCAAAAGAGTTGCTATTACATTCTTCAAAGTAAGAACAAAAATGGATAGCTTTTCCTCAGAAGTCCCTCCTCTGACTAGAGCAATGACCTTATGGCAACCTGGTGTCCCAACACAATATTCAACTGCAAATGGAGCAGCTAATGGTTATAAGATAATGGATGTGATTCCTAAATGGGGTTTCCTTGGAGCTCCAGCAGTTATGTTACCTCCTATTCGTCCAATGGTTCTGAACCCCAAAAGGATACCACATAATGGTACTGGTGTCTTTCTTCCATTATCAAGAAAACCTGTAAAACACCTTCCACCACGTGCCCAGAAAAGGCGGTTTCTTGAGTTACCTTCCCCAGGCGATTCGCCTAAATCAGAGAGCACTTCAGAAGCAAGTATGGATGTCTAGTGCCTGAATTATCAAGACACTCTACACCATAAGCGCTACAGTCAAAAGTAATCCGACATCCTTTTTTGCGTATGTACACGGAGCTCATGTGCTGAGTGTGTATCTTCTGTCTTTTTATACCTCCAAAGATTTTCCATCTCTTAGTTAGGTGTTGGGTGCTGTTCTTTTCCACTGATGCTAACCATAAGAGGCTTTACAGATATTCTGCTTAGTTGAGTGTGTATTAGCCTGTGCAGAAGGTTGAATTTTGTATTTAGCTTTTTGTTTTTCTCTCAATCTCTTCAAGGCCAGTAGAGGTTGATTTAAGGTAATTACATTTGGTTTCTCTTCTTTATTTACTCAGTACATTTTTGGGGTTATCGAGTGTTTACTGTTATCACATGCTTCTTCAATTGTATTTGATCTTAATTGGCTTGTTGAGCCTTGGTACGAACGAATCCAATTTCTCCATATCTAGTGAAATAGCATGTCTAGATACTTTGAAATTCATCAACTTTTTGTAAATGTCTAGGAAATTTGGTCTTAAACTCTTTCTGAAGCTCTGATTTAATATTACACGGTTTGATGACAAGAGTTTGGAGCTTACTATTGTTCATCTGGTGATTGAAACTATGGACTATGGTTTTTGTAAACTAATTAGTTATGATCTCTATATTGTCAGGATTCAGATATATACAAGATGGATGGAATACATAGAACTAATCTCCGGTTCATATACAACACAGAGTTGAAATGCAGTAACCGCAACCAGTAAACTGCATGTAGTGATCCTGGCTTAATATATTCAATATACAATATCGAAATATGTAAGAAATAATGTTCTAGAAGCAACTAAAAACTAAAGCTCTCTCAACGTTGGCGACTAAATAACCATAAGTATAGGCATCAGATATTCTTTTAAGATACATTTTCTACAATGTACAACTGCAACACCGATCCAGGCCTGTTAAGTTGCTCTTCGTTTAGTCGATCTTTAACTTGTAGGACAAGTAAGCAAGATCCCAATGTTATATCGGAAAGTATCAAACATCATGCTTATGTAGTCAAATGCCATAGTGTACTTCTTTGGGTTGGATAGTTAAAGCTCATCTTTCCACGAAGTTGTCTGATAACATTCCTCATCCCAGTAATAAGGGAACTTCAATTTGGCAGCCGTGTGTGGCATCGACCAGTCATCATACATAAACCTGAAAATAAGTGCAAGAAAACAAATTTCTGCTAAGTAACAATCAAAGGCTGGCATAAGATGGACTTATAGCAAAATTTTATTTGCACACAGTCAGGAAAGATGAGTAGCATCAATACTGAAACATTCTGTCCTTGGTCGTAAACTAGACATGTTTGTATTTTCAGAAAAGCACTTGCAAGAATTTACACATTTAGTACATCATGAACTTAGAACCACAAGTTGCTTTCAAATTCACAAAAAAGGCTGACCTCCAAGTCTTGACAAATTTTTGCTTTCAATATATTCTTTTATTTTTTTTATTCAAAGTCATTTAATCTCCCCTATAAAACAAAAACCTCCCTCCCTCTCTCTTTTTTCGAGTAATAGTAGTGTATTATTAATATGGCACCACGGAGGTTCCCTCCCTCCCTCTCTTTTGTTTATTATTTTTCTCGAAGAAGGGTTACAAGTGAGTAGATCTTGATGAGAATGACAAATTTGTATTAATTATGGTGAAGCAACACAACCTGCAACATAGGGGTAACTGCACCAGAAAAACTCACAACTCATGTCTAATGTGGTCCAAGTACTGGTCCTTGTCAGCAGATGAAATTTATATGTAGTCTCTTTCACCATGGGGATAACATAGAAACAAAAGTATGAAATGAAAAGGTTAATGAAACATATTAAGCATGGATGAATTGATGTCATATGATTATCTGTGAAATGGTGGGTTGGAAGTTAATATTTAGCATAGTTTACTTACACCTTCACTGGAGGACGCGAGATAACAACTAAAACTTGTAGATCTTCATGCTCACCAGTGTTCCATACCTGTAATGACAAAAAGTAAAAGTATGTTTCCAGTCATAAATATGGAATTAAGAAGTTGTAATTCGTTGATGTATGGGCTCTGTTGGGTTTTGTGATTTGCAGTCATATGTGCATAGAGATGGAACCTATTTAAGAAGTTGTAATTCACTTGACATATGATCTCTGTTGGGATTTGCGACTGCAAGATGCAGCACTGGCATAGGACTTTAGACAAGCTACACTAACAACTTAGTCCTCATAGAAGATAGATTATTTGAAGGGATGCAAGTAGAATTCCAAAAGGGAACTTGGCTTTTCCCATGATTGTTCAACGGTGAGAACCAGACCCATTATCAGATATATTGCCATAAGCAGAGCGCGAGAACTTCCAAGGTAAGGGAAGAAAAGCAGGTATATTTGCCATGAAGTAGATAGAACATATCTCACACAAAAACAAATCATGACTTGCAGACCAAGAGTTTCCTAGAAACCTGGTAAAATATTAACTGATCCTTTCCATAATTAATTTGTTACCTGATAGATGACGATTCAAAACATAAAAATTAGAAATCTTTGTGGGTATTTGTTTCTATAAAACTAACTGCAACATTAATAAATGCACCAACTAGGAGTTTCTTCGGCAGATCAAGTTATTGAACTCCTATTCACATCTTGCAGTACTAATTTTGAACTCAGGTAAGATAAAGAAAAATGGAGAACAAGGCAGACAGCCTACCTGGTGAACATCATTAACAGGGATATGGAAGGTGCTATTAGGGAATATATGGAACTCCTGCGGGTTCCCCGGGTACTTTGAATGTGAACTAGGAGTGAGATATAGAATGCCTTGACCCTTCAAGACGACGAAAATTTCTTCACATGAGTGCCTGTGTATTGGTGTGCGAGATCCTGGGGCAAATGTTTGAAGCCACACTTCTATCTATACATAAAACCATAGTGATGAAACCCAAGTAAATAGCGGCAATTTGAAACCGAATAGCCAATATTCACAATCAATCAACTTCATTTCAATCAAATTAGTTAGGATAGGCTATATGAATCCATTTTATCTACGTTCTATCCAGGTCAGTGAATAGTTTCAACAAGTCAATATTCCCTCCGTTCTAATTTGTTTGACATTATTTTCTTATTAGTCCGTTCCAAAAAGATTCTATATTTGGAAACAATTAACTTTAAAATTTTCATTTTAAGCTTAATGAAAAGCTTTTGTAGACATAAAAATTTTATGGAATGTCTGTGACCATAAGTTTCAAAATTTTCATTTTATTTCTTAAAGTGCCGATTCAAACTATACCAAACAAATTGGAACTGAGGGAGCACTAAGCAACTGCAAGCAGAACAGCAAAGTAGACTGAATTCTAGAATGAGTAGTTGGAAAAAGAACCTCTTTCATGCCGTGCAAGACTGAACCTGCAATTGTAGTGTGAGATAAACCGGACCTCCCATAGTTTTCCTGTGGAAGCTCGCTGATATTCCTCACAAGTGGTAATCCTACATAACAATTAAAAATTTGGCTTCTAAACTTTAATCAGGATAGGAAATTTTTGCTCATAATAACATCCAAATGTAGACTGATCACACTCATTTCATTTATTTACAGTTCTAAATTCCCAAATAATGTGAAATAATTCAGCATATCAACAACTTTTGGTATTTCAGTCAGCCTTTAAGCTCTGCAAATCATATTTCTATATTACTAAAGGAATTTGCCCAACTTTAAACGGATGCAGGATTTTAAATTAGTAAGAACAGAATATAACAGCGTCCACTACTCCTCTGTGATAATGGTGCGTACCTACAATAACTACACCTAAATTTTCAAAATTTTCTCATAAACACAGAGGAAATGATGAGAAGACATGCCGTTAATTGAGCATTGAGAAGCTTCAGCAGTCGCGAACAACAAAACAGCTACCACTACGAGAACATGGCGAGCCATTCTCAAACTGTCAATCTGCAAACTGGAAACTCCACTCTCATCACCTTGCCGGTCGTTTGGAGAAAACGTCGAGAAAGATCCAGTAGAAAAGGGTAAAAATGACACCAGGTAGCCACTCGCGCCGTTATTTAGAAATTAGCCAGTTTCAGGATAAAAATAAACATCGGCTAATCTCTAAATAGCCTGAGAATGGCTATCCGTGCACTTGCCCCAACAAAAGGTGCGCAATGGGCCGCTTGACGAGTCATGGGCTTTTTAAAACTCAAAAGAAGATATTGATTCTTTAAGTATTTTTAAAAATAATAAATCTTACATCCATTTAGAAATTATATTATATTAATATATTAAATCACAAAATTTTTAAAAATATTTTATATCCTAAGGTAATAGTCATATAAAATGGGTAGAAGAATTACTTTATACAACATTTGAATTGACTTTATTAACTAACACAAGAAAATAAAAATTATAGAATTGTGAGTATTATTATTATTAAAATGATAAGAACTAAATTTTGTACATATTAATAATTCAAGTAGTGAAACTGAGAAAATACCATAAAGTAATATCGATCACGGGAATATAAAATAATAGAAAGTTGTCAACGTCTTAGGTGAATGATAGTTTACTTTACACAGAGCTTCTTCATCTATCTAATGCGTAATATACTGTTTTTTTCCTTTTCAAGAATAATTTTGCATTGACATCACAAACAACGAATCACCGGTAATGAGTAGGGATTTCGATTGATATTTAAAAACCGATCAAACCTTATCGTACCGTGCTGAATCGATTTTTAGATTTTTTTAAATAAAATTATAAGTTTTAATATAAATCTATAACCGTACCGATAATTACAGTAGGCCTTTTATTTTATGAAAATAAACCGAAAAAATATTGAACCGTACCGAGTAAATTTACATATCAAAAATATATTTATATATTAATTTTAAAAATAATAAAGTATTAAATTTTTCCTTGGTGTTGGGATTATGAAAACAGTTACAAGTCAACAATAATTAAACTCAAAATCCTAATTCTCAAACCTACTGTGTTACTCCTACTGAAACTAAATTATTTCCAACATAACTAGCAAGCTAAGACACAAGGTATTGTAGCGATTATGAGTAGCAAATAAATATGTTTCCTTTCATACGACTTAGATTTACCTTTTTGAATATTCAATCTTCTATAGATTTTATTCTTGAGTCTCAGTCCGAGCTTCGTTAATATCTTTTCACTCGTGTGATTTATATTTTCTTTGTATTAATTTGCGTAGTTTCTTTTACGCCGCTGTAAAATAGGTGATGGATCTATACTCCAGCCATCTTTCATATTTTCTTAATTTATCACCCTTTCAAATGTAAAAATATAAAAATGTCAAAAACGTTTTGCTAAGTACTATAAAAATACATATGTTATTATATTCTACTCCGACTAATGACTTTTACATGACATTTTAAAAAAATATCGAAAATTAACCGACTCATACCAATACCGAAGAGAAACCGATATGATTGAAACGGTTTCGAAAAGTTCAGTTTTTGTTATACATAATAGAATAACGAAAAATTGGTGTGGTATGAATTTTTACACTCCTAATAATGAGTAAACTTGTGTATGAGATATTTTTAACAAGTGATATTCGAACTAAGCGCGCACCTTAACTATTTCACCAAATACATCGAATCTCTTGGCGTTGCCCCGGTCCTCCTTCGATTCTTACGATATTAAGCAAGAAAAAAGAGATATTCATGTATCTTCGCATATGCAGTTCTGCTGTTATGGATCTCCCTCTGGCATATCAGTTTCCTTTATTGTGATTTTAATGCGGAAAAATGTAAAACAATAAGTAGCACAACAGTTACAAGGTGATTGGACTGATCATATTTAATTTGTACTAGTACTTCTGCAATCTTTACATGTTTTGATCTACAGAGTTTGATCAGCTCATCATATTGAGGTAGAACAGATGTTACTGAGAGTGAGAAGTAAGCTGCCTGGAAGATTTGACATAGATTCTAACTAGGGGTGGCAAACGGGCGGGGCGGGTCGAAAACGGGTAATTCAAAAATATATAAATTATCCGACCCGACCCGCATTTGAGACGGATAAAAAACGGGTTATCCGACGGATAATATATATCCATATTATCCATGACTTCTTGAATATGATCAGTTATGGGAGAATTCCTACTCTCTCAAACTTGAGGTACCCCCAACTTGAGGTTTTACAAATGTAAAAGTTAAACACATTAGTTATCCATTTTCTAAGTGGATAATATAGTTCTTATCCATATTCAACCCGTTTTTAAAAAGTTCATTATCCAACCCATTTTTTAATGGATAATATGGGTGAATAATTATTTTCTTTTAACTATTTTGCCACCTCTAATTCTAACTATGGTTGAAGCCTCTTATCTTGAAGGGCGGGTGACTATCTCTTTGAAGAAGAACGAACTTTCTTTCTATACACGACTTGATGTACGAAACAGCATATTTACAAATTTAAGGAGAGTAAGAAACGCCTGCATAAAATTGTAAGTGAGATGCTAAACTTGCAGATACATGTGCTTCATAGTATGAACTCTGCCGCCCATTGATCTGACATTTCCCCTGCCAGTGAACCTAACGAAGAAGAGGAATGTTCACAGTTAAATTGTGAGGGCATAAACCCTGGCAAACTGGAAGTATCCAATATCCAGTATGTAGATAACTGGAAGTGAAGAAGATGCAAGTGATGAATCTTTCAGACAGAAGAAAAGAACAGGCCAACCTACGAAAAAGCTCACAGTTTTCTGCAGTATAGGTGATCGATGATGGTGTTCTCAACTAGTCCTTCTGAGAGCAGGCTATATACAAGCGTCATATTGTTCTTTTTTCAATCTGATAAAGAGTAGAAAGACTGAAACTGCAAGTTTGCAAATCGGGAGAATTTTGGCCCCAGATGCATCCCTTAACCATGTTTTGATCTTAGCTTTCTATGTTGTACCTAGCAGTTCTCTTTCTATAAAAGCCAGCCCGGTGCACTAAGCTCCCGCTATGCGCGGAGTCCGTGGAAGGACCAGGCTACAAGAGTCTATTGTATGCAACTTTACCCTACAATTCTGCAAGAGACTATTTTCACGACTCAAACCGGTGATCTCCTAGTCACATGTGGCAATAACGTTACCAGTTACGCCAAGGCTCCCCTTCAAGGGGTTCTCTTTCTATGCTCCTTGCAAACACAGGCCAAGTTACATATTTTGCTTCAGTATTTTTAAGAATATCATTATTCAGGACTGAGTTTTACCATCCACTTGACTAGTGTATTCCAAGATTTGGGTTTTCCTACCAAAAACCATAACAACATTTTCGGTTGAGAAGAGTTCACAGCCTCTATTTCTGATCTGTCCAAAACAAGGGGTCGACTATATCAATCCTCACTAACCATGACCATATAAACTCATCTCAGAGACTACTATTATACAAAATAAAAATAAGCTCTTCCAACGATTCAAGAATATTGTAAAAGTGGAACCGCCACATTTGGAGACAAACTATGCAATTGTGAAAGATGTTCTACTAGAAAACTATGCTAACAAATAACATGACTGTGAAAACTGCACCAACAGAACACAATAAAAAAAAAAAAACTGCTACGTCCACTACCTCATTTAGTGTTACTAGTTGCGGCCTTCTTGTTGGAGTTGGCAAGAACAGCGCTAGAGGGTATAGTGTCATCCATAACTTTGGGGCTGGTAAAGCTGAAATCTGAAACTGATAAATCGCTAAACTCAGGATTTTGCTGAAGAAAAGTGCCCAACTCAGTAGAAGATCTTACTCTTTTCCCTGAAGGAGTAACATAATAAATATCCATTTTAGAGTAATCTCTCCTCAGGGTCATATTTTTCTTAAACCCATTTGGGGTTTTGGGCGTATTGGGCTTGTCAATAACCCAAGTTCGAGATGAATCGTACTCAATATCTGCTGGATCCTCACAAGAAACATTAGGCTTTTTGTTGCAGAAAAAGGGTTCTTCAATAAATTTACTTCTGATTTCTTCAAACTCTTCTTGTGTTGAAATCATTCTCCATTTGAAGCATTTTCCACATTGTGCTGCCCATATGCTTACCGATGGATTCGACGGCTGTCACAAAATAAAAAAATTTAACATAAATTTAGCAATTCGATTCACCTTAAAAAAATGCAAAGATAATGGTGAAATCCCAGATCTCTGTTTATGAAAATTTTCCAGCAAAACCCAGAAGCACCCGTGTACTTTTTACTATTCCAAAATAGTAAATCGACAGAGATATTGATAAGAAATTTACCTTGGGGGGTTTTGGAGAGTCTTTCACCATTTTTGAGTGTAGTCAAAACGACAAGCCACAGTTACCCTCTGGTAGTGGAGACTGCTTTGTTTCTTTTTTAAGTGACACAAAAAAGGTCAGACGGATACGGCTAAAAAAAAAAAAACAATAGCAAAAGGACAAAAGTATGGAAATTAGAGCATAGGGCCCTCAGTAGTTTAGGAATAATGTAATTTAACCCCCTCTAGTTTTAATCGATGAAATAATTCAATATACACTAATAGTCTGCTTGACCAAGCTTCTCCAAATATTTTTTCGAAGTTAAAGAATTTGGCCAAACCTTGAAAAGAAAAAGAAGTAGAAGAAGAAGCAATTTTGGAGAGAAAAAGTAATTTTTCCCAAAAATATTTTTGAGAAAAATATATTTAGAATCACTTTTCAAAAGTTTGGTCAAATACTGATTGTTGTTCAAAAGTGTTTTTCAAATTAATTAACCAAACAAAACTGTATCTCAAAATAAGATAGTTCTAGTAGCTTGGTCAAACAAACTATAACTCTTGACCATTTGAATAAAAGAAGTAATTCTGTTAAAATTTCTAATATTTTATTCTCAAAAATTTTCATTCAAAATAAAATTTCTTGAGAGATATGATGCAAAACAACAACAAAAATTAATGGGATAAAGTGATATAGCTTTGTTGTGCTAGTAAATGTGTCTCAAAAGTCAAAACACATGCTAAGTAGAAGCTCCCACTGTCCTTATTTATGTGCTACTTTTTATTTCTTAGAGAATTATTTTAACTAATTTTTAAAGTTAAATTAGATTAGATCAATTTAATATTTTAAAAATTAAATTTTAGATATTCAAAGATTATACAAAATGTATACGTTGTAATTTTTCTCGTGTCAATATGATAAAAGATATATTTTAAAATATTTATCAAAATACACCTAATTTAAATCTCGAGAAACAAAAAGATACCACATAAATTGAAGCAAAGGAATAATCTCATAAAATGAAAGAAAGGAGGGAGATTAGGTGAAAGAAAAAATGATACTATATTCTTGGTGGGGTTTGGAATTTGGATTAATTTTTTGCATTGTGTTAAGATTAAGCTGTTTTTTTCCCTTAAAACAAATGCCACCTTAGCTTTGTTACCAAACAAAGTTTGTTGCCTCCTTGCAGTGAGTGCAATGATGGAAATCGTTTGGATCGCAGTGATGATGGCGAAACAAGGTATTTAAATTTAAAAGAATTAAAAAATAATTTTCGACAAAGGGTGTTCAATATGTGTTATATATTTCTAAAACGTAATATTTTATCTATATATACAGTATAATTTTTTGACTAAAAGTGATCAGTTGACGACCCTATGTGGCTTCGCCACTGCGTATAGAAACCAACGAGTTTATGGGGTGGACGTGCCGCGGCCGTCGGTGCACCCAAATCATATCACTATACATATTTTAGTTTAAAAATTATTAATAGTTTACAATTATATTAAATTTTAATTTGTAACTTTGTTACAAAGTCGAAAATTGACATTGTTACCAATTAAGATACTAATTAGTGACCAATTAATCCCATTAAATTAACAATCTTTCTAATGACAACAAAGCTATATCCAAATTTGTCCACATTATCGACTTCCGAATGTGAAAAAATCGTGTATTTATTGACTTAACATGTTAAGATTCCCAGTTTGCAAAATCATGAAGGTAATGATATTTTGCATTCATTCTAGTTTGTATTGATAAGAGAGGGAGAGAAGGAAAGATATATCCCAAGTAATATTGTTTCTTTAGACGTATAATGCAAACCTAATACATCAAAATTATTAGGGTCTTCTTATATAGACAAACCTATCGTAGAGTAGAGGAGCCGCAATTACTGCAATAATAGCTACGTATTTTACAAACATTCGTACCGACTAAGATTTCTTTCCCTCATAAAAATCTTCTGCAACTTCTATTTCATCCTCTTTACTATTTCCCCTTCCATTCCCTCATAAAAAACTTCATTCGTAAAAACTTACATGCACATTTAACATCAAATAAATGAATATCTCAGTATTATTATTGTTAAGTAGTAATATATATTCTCATTTAAATATTAATTTGTTTGAATTAAAATATAAGTATTTACCTTATATTTTAGCACTCTTTTCATTGTTGTTGACGAAGGGAGTAAGTTAGCTTGTTTTGGCAGAAAATAAAACATCTTGCCAATATACCAATTGTGTGTTCCAATAATAATAATAATAACAATAGAACACAAGGAGAAAAACAATAAACCAAAAAGAGAAGTATATTACTGAAATTAAAGATCGGAGCCAACATTAATAAATAAAAAACACACACATTAAAATGGAAAAAGAAAAAGGCAACAAAGACTGTTCCTGTTTCCTATTATACCTTTTTCCCTTCCTTTTGTCTCCTCTCTTTTCCCCCCTTCCTTTTGTATCCTTTTTTCGTATTTCCTTTTTCCTTTCTTGGTTTCGTTTCTGTTCTATCAGTAGACGTGAAAAATATAAAACAAGTTGATCAGCAGTCATCTATGTCTCTTGGTAATATTTTTACTTCCATTTTTATCTCTTTCTTCCACCGTTCAGTTCTGTTCTGCTTTTCATCAAACCTTCGTCTGTTTCTTCTGCTTTATGGGTATGTTTTCTTCATGCATGTGATTTAGTTCTCCCCTATTAATCAGTAATTTCTGTATAACTTTGTTCCTCTTAACTTCGTTCTGTTTCTGTGTTCGTTTTGTTCTGTGTTACTGCTCTGCTTTTGTTGTCGTCACAAATTTCTCTCTTTCTTAATACTGTGAAAATTTCTGGGATATGCTAATTGTGAGTAATTAGTGGTCCTCGCTCTATTTGCTAATTATTTGTCTGTCTTAAAAGCTTGTCTTTTATTTTTCTGGCCCTTTATTTCAGTTTTCTGGTGTAACAAAAACAACCAGTGTCTGTTTATTTCTAGTTAAGATGAATTTTGCATAATATTATTTCTCCTTTTGCTAGCTATGCATGATCTGGAAAACTATTCTGCTGTCTGTTACTCACTCTGTTTTATTTTATATATGATGGTACTTATTAGACACCAAGTTTAAGATATAGTTAAAATGGAGAAACATGATCATCATCATATAGCGGATTCGACTTGTTTGAGATTGAGGCATATTGCTAAAGTTTAAGATATTAATTGGACTTATATTAAAGGTAATTGGAGAAAAGATTGAAGTATAGTTGAAAATTAGTACGATGGAAAAGCATCACATCAAAGTTTTAAATCTTGAATAGTTTAATGAAATTGAACTCTTGAAATATTGTAAAAACTGTTTACACATTGAACGATGTCAAACATTTTGCAACGTTCCAAACGGAAATAGTGTCAGATAAATTTGGAGAAAGGAATTAATAATTTACTCAAGTATTTTTGCTATTGTGTGCTAGGCATTTGAATTTCTAAAGATGGACAAAGAAAAGGTAAATGGCTCTCCGGACACAGTTTTAGAGGACTTTTTAAGGACTGCAGTATCAGAATCAGACTCTTCAAAAGCCAGCACTTCAGAATTGGAAGTTGCAAAACATCAGAGACCTGCTTCCAAATGGGCTGGATTTCTCGAGCTATTCAGAACCAAATCAAGAAGATACTTAGCTAAGGATCCTCTCAAACTATCTAAACGATTTAGCAGCAGCATGAGAGAGTTAGTTGGTGTTATGAAAAATCCCATTGTTGATGCTGATTTGAATTACTTCAAGCCTCAGTGGAGGAGTTTCACCCTCTCTGAGCTCCATGCTGCAACCAACAATTTCCACCAAGGTCAGTATTCAGCTTGGGATTTCACATCTTATAACATTTTATTAAATTGAAAAGGGTCAAAATTACCACTCTACCTCCTGCTATATGAAATATTTTAATTTTTATCTTTTGTCATACTTTGCAATTTATATATTTGTCGTTAACAAATACTCTCGGATTTTCCGTTGACCTCTGATGGAGCTCCAACCTGAAGTATAATGGAGAGAAGGCTAAATTTGGACTTCTTTCCCCGAGTATTGTTATACGTGCATGGAATCCACCCAGTGCACTTCGGGTTAGAGTTCTGTTAGGACAAGACAAATATGAGACGATTTGCTAAAGAGAAAAGGTATGAATAGCCCCAAAGTATAGCGGAGGGTAAAATAGAAAAAATTGGTATGGTAGAGGGATAAAGTTGGACCTTTACTGTCGGTTAAATTTGTTGTAACATGCTAACTTACATGAGAGAAGATCTCCAATAGTGCAGTTTCTGATGGTCAAATTGTGCATTTCATGCTGTAGGAAATTTGATAGGGAAGGGTGGTTATGCAGAAGTTTACAAAGGATGTTTAAAAAGTGGCCAATTTGTTGCAATTAAGCGGCTCACGAAGGGAAAGCAGGATGAGAGAACTGGGGATTTTTTATCTGAGCTGGGGATAATGGCCCATGTCAACCATCCAAACACTGCTAAATTGATTGGTTATGCAGTTGAAGGTCTCTATCTTGTTCTTGAGCTTTCTCCTAATGGAAGCTTGGCCAACATGTTGCAGGGTTCGCGACTCTCATGATCTCAAATGCGGTGTCTATCTTTTTCTTGGTCTATATCTCTTTACTGATTTTGTTTAGTGTTGTAAAGTGTCAAAGCAGAAACTAGATTGGAAAATCAGGTATAAGGTAGCTGTTGGGGTGGCTGAAGGGCTGCGATATCTTCACGAGGGAGGTCAAAGAAGAATTATCCATAGAGATATTAAGGCTGCAAATATATTGCTTACTAAGGACTTTGAACCTCAGGTATTATTATGACTATCATAACTGTTATTGGTATCAAGTAAACTCTACTTGCTGGAAATAGTATTTTAAATTTCACTTACTGACCTTGGTATCAAGAAAAACTTGTCCGGATGAATCTTTTAAAAGGGCCTCGGGTGTTTGAACCTCAAAAAGTTTCTGTTTTCATTTCAGATTTGTGATTTTGGCCTTGCCAAATGGTTGCCAGAGCGATGGACTCACATCACTATATCGAAATTTGAGGGCACATTTGGGTTCGTATACTGTTTAGAGCTTCCTCAATGTCTTGTACTTGCAGCTAAGGTTTCTAATCTAGTATCAGTTTGTGTCTTGCTAAATCTTCTCATTGAACTTTGTAATTGAGGATGCAGCTACCTTGCTCCAGAGTTCTTAATGCATGGCATAGTAGATGAAAAAACTGATGTTTTTGCATTCGGAGTGCTAATCTTGGAACTTATAACTGGACGTCGAGCACTTGATTACACACAGCAAAGCCTTGTCATATGGGTATCCCTCTCTACTCTCTATTATTTACTCACCATTGTATGTGAAAAACAAAATCTGAATATTTCCTCTTTGCTTTTTCTAGGCCAAACCCCTGCTGAAGAAGAATAGAATAAGAGAGCTTGTTGATCCTTCACTTGCTGATGACTACAACTTATTGCAGATGAATCTCATGGTATTGGCTGCTTCCTTGTGTATACAACAGTCTTCCATCAGACGTCCGCGAATAAGTCAGGCAAGTGCTGGACATTGCTTGATCAAAAAAAAGTTAAATTTTCTATTCTACATACACAAGGCTATTCGAACATGTTACTGAGATCAAACCACTCACATGAATTAAGGGGGATGTTGGAACTGAACTCTTGGCTTCTTTACTCCACATGCCTTTATGATTGTTTATTAACAGTTTTTATGTATCCTCATTTGTGAAGAACTGAAAACTGAACTCTGAATACAGGTTCTGCAGCTTCTCAAAGGCAATAGTGGCAGCCTAGATATAATCAGGAGATGCAGAAAATCTTCCGATTGGAAGAGGCATTATGAACAACTCTTTAGTGCAGAAGAATGCAAAATGATCAGAGGTTTAAGTGGTTTAAGTATGCAGCAACAGATACCAATTGAAGTCTGAGATGTCTCTGGCTTAAGGCTCAAACTGTGATGTTGGGTTGATATAAAACTAACAACATCCTTTGGAAGAGGGATAGGGGATTTAGGACCTTCGATTTTCGTCTCATGATTAATGGAAAGTATGGAATTATGCATCTGCTCATATTTTTCTCCCTGCCCCGTCATGAGACCTACAATGGGGAACTTTACCTAACTGCCCCGTCATGAGACCTACCCCCATATGATTAGGAATCAGAGGCGGAGCCATAATTTGAAGTTTATGGGTTCGGAATTTTAGTGGGTTCTAAATTAATAATTTGTACATATTCAATGAACTTTTTAAGATAAATATCGGGTTTGGACCAAAGTCACTGAGTTCGGCTAAACCCGTAACCAAAGCGCTAGCTCCGCCCCTACCAAGGATCTACAGTCAGTCCGCGACTACTGGATGCCAAAGGCGTCTTCTAGCTACTGACAATGGTAAATAAATGTAGTGGTCAAACATTACATTAAAATAAAAAAGAAGTGATAATAGTCACTATAAGTATAGTGAAATAATTCTTTATTTCTAATTCTTATAATGCTATTGGAGCGTATCGGTAGAAAAGATTGACATGATTCAAGGGGGAAAAACACTTAAATATGCCAATGCAAGTTCTCTTGAACTCCCCCATTGCTGTTTGGTCAAGCTTTCTTCTTGGCCAAAAGTTTTTTTTTTTTTTTTTTTAAAGTTAAAGGTGTTTGACAAGCTTTTTAAAAGAAAAAAAGTATTTTTGAGTAGAAGCAGAAGTAGTTTCTGAGGAGTAGAAAAAAATAGTTTCTTCTCAAAAATATTTTTTTGAAAAGCACTTATGAGAAAAATACACTTATAAGCACTTTTGAAAAGTCTGGTCAAACACTAATTGCTGCTCAAAAGTGATTTTCATATTAATTAGCTAAACACAAACTGATTCTCACCAAAAGTACTTTTTTAAAAAGCACTTTTTAAAAAAATACTTCTCAAAATAAATAAATTTTAAAAGTTTGGCCAAACATACTGTAACATTAGTTCGCTCAGTACTAGTAACTTTTTAAATTGTTTGAATGGACTACGAGTTTTTTCTGGCTATAATGAGCTTATAAAAATCTGCTTCTTACTTCCAACGCTGTTATATAGCCAAAAGGTATATCCTCCCTGTTGTCTTTTTCTTTTTTCTTCTTCTAGGATTCATCTTTAAATGGGTAGTACATTGAAAATATTAAATTTATCTACTAACGACATCAAAAAATTACATGTTTAGTGTAATTTGATAAAAAAAAAAATGTGCACCTGACAATTTTGATGGTCTAATGTTAACTCTTTGCGCTTTGAGTAGAGAAAATAGTTTAAAGATAATTTTTAAAATTAAAGAGAGAAAAGAAGGATGAGTAAATTAACTCTTTGCGTTTTGTGCCTCTACTAGAAAAAGTTGTTATTTCTCTTACATGCCAGTACTGAACTAGCAACAAAAAGGCTTGCGTTCATCAAGGTAAGATGCAATTATGTTCTCTCCAAATCCACCTCTTGGTTACACTCTGAGTTATAAAATTCTTTACAAGTTATATAGAACTATATGTTTTAACTATATCAAAATTCACCAATTAACCCAAATGTTAAGAGTTTCATTATTTATATAAGTATTTTGTTTCTCATTATTTATATAAGAAAATATCTAAATCCATTATTATAATGAATGTAGTCAATTCCACCTTTAGAACTTCACTAATTTGATCCTTCAACGCCTTTTCTCAGACTTTGGGGACCCATATATATTTGTCACATCTGTAACTCTCGTCATCTGCTTGATCTGCAAAGTTTAAAGTCACATAAATAAAACAGAAAAGGGCGAACAATACCCCTAACGTATTGAAAATGATTTAAAAATATCATCTGTTAACCTTTTGGTCCGCAAATGTCTCTAACGTTTGTTTTTTGGCTCAAACTTACCCCTATATCTAACAGAAGGGCCAACAATACCCCTAACATATTGAAAATGGCTCAAAAATACCTTCCGTTAATATTTTGGTCCGCAAATGCCCCTAACGTTTGTTTTTGGGCTCAAACTTACTCATATATTTAACGGAACTAACCTGGTCAATTTTTTGACTTTTACTTCGCCATGTGACATTTTCTTAACCTGCCACATATATTATTTATATTAAATAAACTCACCAGTATCTTTTAAAATACCCAACGACCCTGACCCGCTTCTATATATTTGGGCGGTCAGCTAAAAATAATTACATTCGCTAGTTAAATATATAAAAAATATACATTGATTATATATAAAAATATGTATATTATACATTAATATTTTAATATATATTTTATATGATATTATTTTTACGAGAAATTATACGGTATAGTTTTTCCTTCAAATTTTACAGATCTTAATAAGTTTAACAAATATAAATTTTAATTTGCAAACATAACAATAGAATGATTCTAAAGGAGAAACAAAGAAACAGATGTAAAGGAAATTATTTAAAACCTTTAATTATATACATATCCAACTGCTTAGCACATTAATGGACTTCACATGATCTTTTTAATGGGAACTAATGGTATTTTAATATATAACAATAGAGTTAAAATATTAGCAAAAACTGTCGTTTCATTGTCAGCTTAATAAATTCGAGTTATAGATCATAATTAATAGGGAAAACTATACCGTATAATTTCTTCTATAAATAATATCATGTAAATATATATTAAAATATTAATGTATAATAATACATATTTTTATATATAATTAATGTATATTTTTTTTTATATATTTACATAATATCATGTTAGATATAGGGGTAAGTTTGAGTCTAAAAATAAACGTTAGGGGTATTTGCGGATTAAAAGGTTAATGAAAATTAATTTTGAGCCATTTTTAATATGTTAAGGGTATTGTTTGTACTTCTCTTAGATACAAACGTTATGGGCATTTGCAGTTAAGGAACGGTATTTTTAAACCATTTTCGACTGGTAACCCTTTTCCGTAAATAAAATAGTACTAACAGAATAGTACAAGTTGGAGTTTTGAGTGCACCCAAATAATGGAAATTGTTGGAAAATTGCAGAAACAGTTTATCGACTTCATTACAGCTTTGTACCATGAGGTAAGTTTCTTTTCCCAATTTCTTTTACATTTGTTTTATTTTTGTTTATTGATTTGAGGCTTTTTCTGATGTGGGTTTCGTTTTTCTTGTTCAAAAAAATAATTTTTCTTTTTCTTTTACAAAGGGATTCTTGGATGATCAGTTTCTTCAGCTTAAGAAACTACAAGTTGAGAGCAGCCCTGATTTTGTATTTGAAGTAGTGACACTTTTCTTTGAAGATTCAGAAAAGATTATCAACAATCTGGCAGCTACACTGTGAGATTAAGTGTCTTATAATTTTCTGGGGTTATTTTTCCTTGATTTTGTTTTATAAAAGTTGAACTTTTGGCTCATTAGTTTTTTTTTTTTTTAATTGTTTAGTCAGCAGCAGGTTGTGGATTTTAAGCAAGTTGATTCCCATGTCCACCAATTCAAGGGTAGCAGTTCCAGGTACTTAATTTTAGTTGGTCCCTTACATTTTTAGGAATACTTAGTTTTAGTCGGTCCCTTACATTATTAGGTCTGTGTCGTTGACTGAACTACTTCAATTGATGTTGAAGGTTTTTTGTATTTTCCAGTTACATTTGGACTACTTTTCTGAATAGTAGGTTAGTTGACAAGTAATACCTACTTGGTGAATTTATTGTACTCAGAGATTTTGTTTTATGCTATTAGATTTTAGATCACAGTAAGTAGATAGTTGAATTGAAGACTTTCTGTTTTTCTTAAGTATCACTATTACTTTATCTGACCTGAATCTCTGTAATGTTGAGCAGCGTAGGTGCACAAAGAGTAACGAATGCTTGTATAGCTTTCAGAAACTTTTGTGAACAGAAGAACCTTGAAGGGTGAGTTTTGCTTTATGCTCTATTCGTATGGGATTTGAGAAAATTTCATAAACAAATTTGGCTGCTTAGATATTCAGAAAAATAGTTTACTATGAAAGTTTTGTATTCTACCATGTCCAAAATTGGTCATTGTGGTTTATAATCATTAAATTCATTTCGCAGCATGGTCATAAACTGGTCGAGAGGTAGTGCATAGAAAAACGAAAGTATGAGACTTACCTGTTATCATGTGGTATATTCTTTAATCAAATTAGAAGAATGTTTATCATTGGCTAAGTCAGATACTATTTGAGGCTAATATGGATCTTCATTCACAAGGGGTACATGTCTAGAACTTTCCGATTTCTCTTTTCCAGCNCTATTTGAGGCTAATATGGATCTTCATTCAGAAGGGGCGCATGCCTACAACTTTCCGATTTCTCTTTTCCAGACATTTTTACTCCATTGTAATTGCAATCACCCAGTGTTTGTCACGTCTCTTGTCTCCAACCACCCCCAAATTTCCTGGTCTCTTTGTGTTCCTGTCTCTTCTTTTGTGTTTTGGGGATAAAGTTGTGCTTCTGTCTCGCTTTTCTGGACAAAATCAACCTTGTTGAAGCAATTAACAAAATGAAGTTCACGCCTTTTGGGAGTTTTATATATATAATGTATGCAGGTATAGAAAACAATGGGATTTGAGTAGAGATATTTCTGGTTGGTTAAGGATATTGGAGTCTAGCATGCCACTTCATTATTGTTTATCTCTTATAGTAGTAGCCAAATTCTTTGAATTGCCAAAGTAGCAGTAAGTTTCACTTTCAAAGTTATCAAATCACAATAATAGACCACTTTCTCTAGTGAGTCTCTAAAGTTTCACTAAATTATCATTGCCCCTTAAGAGGACACCACCATGAACCGCAATCTCTGCAGAGATCTCTAAAAGTAGCATTTGTACTTCTTTCCGTCTCAAATTTGCTAAAGTTTGCATTGTTTAGCTGAGTATACAATCTTCTCTCTTTCACAAGATGAATATGAAGGCCAACTCAGTTGAAGCATTTCCACATAGTTACGTTTTAGTATTATGTTGGAAAAAAGCATTGAAGATTTATGTACCATATGTTATGTACATATAGTCCATAAGTCAGCAACTAACACCATGTAGCTGTGGCTTTGGGTTTCAAGACAAATAAAAGGATAGATAGTTATTCCATCTTGATTCGATTCCCTTGTAGGAACTTTTAACTCCATGAGATAACATAAGAGTTAAAGCCTCTTTATTAGTTCCGGCTTTCAGACATATAATTGCAAATGGTTGTAAGAAATGACGAGCCCCATCATTACCTTGCTTTAGTTTGGATTTAAGTCTTCATACTGTCTTGCTATTGTGTTCATGTTGCATTGGAGTTCGATTTTTTAGTTGTACCCATGAGACTGCAAAATGCTTCAGCTTTGTACATTTGTTTTCCTTGTGCAGGTGTGTGCAATGTCTGCAGCACGTGAAACATGAATATTTTCTTGTGAAGAACAAACTCGAAACCTTGTTGAGGGTAAGTACTCATCTATGAATGCATTCCAAGTCTAAGTGCCATATCATTGAAGAGAAAGCTACTTAGTATATGATACTAAAAGTTCAGTGAGTCGGGTGTTCTGATGCTCAACCATCAACTTGGATATTTCACCAATTACTTCATGATATAGTTGACAGATTATGTGTTATAGGTCATAGCATTTGATAAGCAAACATGAAATTTGCCTTGAGGCTGGCATTTAATGAGATAGTGAAACTGCCCTCTCAGCATTCTCATTTGATTTAGTTTTTACCACTCAAGTATTGTTTGAGATACCAGATTTCTGACATCGAATTCTCTTCCATGAGAAGAGAATGGTTCGTTGCCTCTTTGGCTTCATTAAAAGCTTTTGATTCCCTGAAGTCTCCATTTTTTCCAATAAGGTTTTTAGCACCTTGCCTTTGTCACATTACCAATTATGTTTTCGATTATTTCCAATATATTAATAGTTAATTTTGAGAAAGGTTCTTTTTTGTTTCTCCCCGAAGTCTTAAAGTCAGCTCAAATCACTGCTTGTTTTATGAAAATGTAGCTAGAGCAGCAAATCTTGGCAGCTGGTGGTACGATTCCTGTCCTGTCATAGGTGCTGATGATTTTAAGGCATACCAAAATACAAGGATAGTAGAGAGGAAGGGAGTTGGCATTGCAAATGAGTTTCAAGATTTTGGTGTGAACCCAACGAGGAACTTCACTATCGTATAGTTGACTCGACTCGAATGCCCTCTTAGCTGCTTTGATTGCTGGATTCTAATAGTTGAAGATGTAAAGAATTCATTGTGAATAGCAGATTTCCTATATTGTTACTTCAAAATTCCTTTCGCCTTTTGGTAGTGAGCTATCTATATACTAACAGCTGAACTTTTTCTCCCTTCAATGGTTATCACTAGGGTTGTTATTATCAGAATTTACGTGGTAAGCTTCAGCCATTATTAAGTACTAGAACTTGAGGTGTTCACCTTGTTGTTAACAAATTGTAAAGGACAGTGTCAGATGCATATGGATGATGTCTTCCACCTCCCCCCGCAAACAACATGCAAATCTAGGATCTAGTGGGTTCAAAATTAGTGTGATCTTATTATATGCAAATTTTCTCAATTTTTGTTGTATATGTATAATTGTATACATTGTTTGAGCTAAAAGTAATAGATTCAGTTGAACACATAGAACCCACTTCAGATTTGCCGTTGACCCACAACATGTGAGAAGTAGGGTGGGCATCGGCCGGTTCGGTTCGGTTGTGAATATTATCGGTTTAGCATGTCGGTTATCGGTTTATAAATATGCTAAACCGATAACCGAACCGATAAGATATCGGTTATCGATCGTTATTGGTTCGGTTATTGGTTTACCCGATAAGATAATAAGAAATATAGTGTATAATGCCATGGACTGAACTTCAATCACTGAAGTTTGCATAATCAGATTCCAAAGCATAGCCATTTCGCCATTCCATTTTTCTTTTAAAATACATACTTTTGTTTTACTCAGTGCAAGTTGCTTATTTGACCACAGGATACCATTTGCAAGTTCCCTCAATTTTTCATATTACAAACAAAGAAAAGGAAGTAATCAAGTAAGGAATAGTTTTACATAAAGTTGACCTGCAGTACAATTCACTGGAGTCTATAGTGAATGTTAAGGAGGTTATATCCTACCTCAAATCATTCAATAATCACAAAATTATATTTCAAGAGTACATCTCACTGCTACCGTTGAAGGAATGAAGAATGAAGACTTGCAGTTGAACAAAGTTTAGAGAAGGCTGAAGCCCTAGATGTATTTATATACTTAAGGATAAAATCATAATTTTATTAAATTTTATTGGGTTATCGGTTAATCAATTAATAAAATTGGATAAACCGAGACCCGAACAGATAACCCAATAGTAAAAAAATATAAAACTGTTACCGAACCATTAACTCAATAACCCAATACCGATAACCCAGTAAGCTTTTTTCGGTTCGAATTATCGATTTTACCCGATATATGCCCAGCTCTAGCAAGATGTGGCCTCTTATTATTAGATTAGCCACCTGCATGAAGTTGCTTATGGACTAGAAATTTAATAAGATGGTCAAAGCTCTTCTTTGGAGGTCAGTCAATAAGAGTTGCTTTCACTGATCTGTAGGTAGTTCAATGAATCTGCTTTTTTATAAGCAAGTTCTCCAACTACTTTAATTTAGAACGTGAAATTCATGGATTTCCTAACTTCTTTTGGTCTTTTTCACCTCAATGTGGTTGAACGGGATTTGCATAAGTCTATTAACATCTTTTTTGGTTTTCTTGCTCTCTCTTGTGATGAAGCCTAGCACTACTTTAAGACAAACTAGAGTTCTTTTGTCTCTTAAACAGGGGGAAAAAAGGGTATAAATAATTTGTTTCCTCACAAATTGGGATAGCTCTCTGTTTTTCCTTTTCCTTTTTAGTTAATTATCTGTATATCAAGGGAAGAATGGAACAAGGCTCATTTTATGGTTGGTCCTGCTACCTATATCATAAAGGGATAGGGTGTAATATACTCTTTCCGTTCACTTTTACTTGACACATTTTGACTTTTTACGTCCCTTAAGAAACAATGATTGACATGATAATTTTACCACAATAACCCTATTAATCGATACTCAATAATTGAACCCAAATTCCCAAATAAATACTCCAAAGAACAAGAGAATAAAAGATGACTTTAGTGGACTTTTGTGTTTAACGAAGGGTGATAATGAAGAGTTCCGTGTGAATTCCAATATTAAGCATTGGAAAACTACAACTGACTATTATTTATTTAAGAAATGTTGGTTAATAAATTAAGAGTAAAACAGAAAAAAAAATTATCTTCTTTTGATGTGCGTAAAGTGACAATTAAAAATAAAAATTTATTTTTAGTATACATGCCATGTAAAAGTGAACGGAGGGAGTAACTCATAGTCACTTTCGGTCCAGACCAATAACTAATCTAGCCAACAGCTAGGTTATTCCCCAGCTAGGAAAGTTATTTAATGAATCTTAGGTGAAACAGTTATTGGAAATTAGTTTAGTTGGATATATAAACTAGGAATACCTTTGAGTTCTTGATTTTTCTAGTCTGACGAAATGGAGTTTAGCATTTGCTGAGATGGTTGGCATTCCTAGTTTAGCATTTCGAGACCAAGACGACATCCTAATTTCTGCATAAAAGACTTTTAATGAACATTTTAGTTTTAAGCAAGGTGTAGGGTTTTAGAAAAATCTCTCAACAAAGTTAATCCACACCTTTGTCAGTAGCTCAGTACACCTCTATTTATTCAACAGAACAAACATGAAATATCCATTTGCTATGTGTTAGCATTTGTCAACGACACAGCATGTGCAGTGCTCAATCGAATCTATACGTGCAAAAAGAGGAGAGCACCGTGTATACGGCCAAAACTGATCAGTCCGTCGTACGAACTGGTCGAGATGGTAATACTTTGATCGAAGAGCGTCTTCGTAATATCAGATTGAGATATCAGATTGAGGTCCGAAGTCAGGTCATCAAGCTTCGAGTTCTAGGACCGATCAATGTCAAGCTCGATATCATTATCGAGCTCGAATTCAAATCGAGCTACGAGGCGAAGCGAAGTTATCGAGCTTAAGATCCATAGGCCGACCGGCACCGACCCCGAATCGATATCAGACTCCGAGTCGGAATCGAGCTCGAGTCAAGATCGAGAGCTCGAGTCAATATCGAGCTCACAGACAAGAGCCGTTGCAACCGCACTAGGGGAGAGAATCATGGCAAGAATTAGGAAAAAACTAATTCATTATGGGTTCCCCACTATGTATTTTTTATTATATCTAAAGTAGAATCTCTCCACTATAAAAGGGATGATTGTTGTTTCTGTAGGGCAGCGAGTCATTTACATTGTAACAAGAATCCTATTTTCTCGTATTGAAAGATTAAACTTTTTTGAGCTCCATCACTTCATCTTATTTTGCTCATTTATTTTTCTCCTTTCTACTGTGTTTATCTTTTATTCTTTATAGTCAAGACTGGATATTTCTATTTCTCTTTACGATTTGTGTCAAGTTATTCCACATACCCTTAGAACTACGTACAAATTCAACTCTATCCGATTTTCCGGGTAAACAGTTTGGCGCCCACCGTGGGGCTGAGGATAACAGTGGTTATTTGATACAAATCTACAACACACACCATTTTACGCTTGTCTTTTGAAAACACTCGATTAATGGCTTTACCTATCGAAAACGAAGCCGGCCTTCAAGATAAAACCAACAACTTGACGCCCAGGGCTGGAAGGCTGCTTGTCGATGCCGTGGAAGCTCGAGTCGGAGTACCTGAAGCTCGGGTCGAAGTACCACTAGACGTTAATTCGCATGTGGCACTTGAGGCAAACCAACGTTCTGAACCTGAAAATAGCGTTCATGGCGGTACTCGATCTGCAGCTCGAGACACCCATAACGTTGACGAAAACGGAGTCAACTTGCGTATGAATTTTGAAATGTTGCATGCCCAACAAGTAGCGATAACTCAGTTGCAGAGCCAAACCCAGGTACCAAGCAGGCCAAAGCCCAGTCCACCTCGAGAAATTGCCCACATAACGGAGCCAGCCATAGTAAGGTCAAATGAGCAAGAATCAGGGACTACTCCCGAAATTGCTAAGATACTCGAGGAAATCACAAAGCAGATCGAAGCAAACGATAAAAAAGTATAAACATATAACTCCAGGGTCGATCAGATCCCGGAGGCTCCACCAATGATAAAAGGGTTGGATTCAAAAAAATTCGTGCAAAAACCTTTTCCCTTGAGTGCAGCCCCAAAACCAATCCCAAAAAATTTCCGTATGCCCAAGATTCCCAAATATAACGGAACTACTGACCCCAACGAACACGTCACCTCTTACACATGTGTAATCAAGGGTAACGATTTAGAAGATGACGAAATTGATCTGTGTTGTTGAAAAAATTCGGAGAGACCCTCTCGAAGGGGAAATGATTCGGTATCACAATCTGCCACCGAATTCCATCGACTCATTTTTCATGCTAGCAGACTCTTTTGTAAAGGCACATGTCGGTGCCATAAAAGTCACAACAAGAAAATCAGACCTTTTTAAAGTAAAACAAAAGGATAACGAAATGCTGAGGGAATTCGTGTCCCGATTTCAAATGGAACGTATGGAGTTGACACCGATCACGGACGATTGGGCCGTTCAAGATTTCACCCAAGGGTTGAACGAGCGAAGTTCAATAGCATCACTTGGGCAGATGTGCACAATCGATATCAGTCAAAAATCAGGGTCGAAGGGGACCAATTAGGAGCTCCTTCCGGATCAGTACATCCAAACAGGTCGGTTATAAAAAACCAGAGGGACATCAACGGAGAGCCAAGGTCGAATAGAGACCAATATCAACCATACACCACAAATCGAAGGAACAATAGTTCGGGACGCAATTAGGCCCGGAACAATCGAATGAGTGATCAAGGACAGAATTCTCGGGGAGTTATGAGCAAAAGTGGTTTCAACAAATATGCCGATCCTATAGAGGCACCTCGATTATCGGAATATAACTTTAGCATCGATGCATCGGGCATTATATCGGCAATCGGAAGGATCAAGGATATTAGGTGGCCCAGACCCATACAAACCGATCATTCCCAAAGAAACCCAAATTCAATGTGCAAATATCATGGCACACATGGCCACAAGACCGAGGATTGCAGACAATTAAGGGAGGAGGTAGCCCATCTATTCAATGAGTGCCACCTTCGAGAGTTCCTCAGCGATCGAGCCAAGAACTATTTCAAGGAGAGAGAGACGCCAACAGAAAAAATGAACAGGAGGAACCTGAACATATCATTCATATGATCGTCGGTGGGGTCGACACTCTACAGGAACCCATACTCAAACGCACAAATATACCGGTCACTAG